TTGCAATGAAATACGTACCAAGAGCCAGATCGAAAGCCCATTTAAATCAGTGGGCTTTGGATTGGACCTTATCTACAGTAAATTCCACTTGTAAATTGGGGCGGGGGGAGAGAGGGCAAGGCAACAATCCTGGTAGGTCAGTGGCACACACTGATAAAGGGTCATGTGGCTCCCACAATTATATCAGCTATTAAAAGACTAGAAAGGAAAGAGGCATATTAACAAAAACATTAATACCCCGCAATCAGAAATTTCTATGAAGAACCATATACCTTGCAAGTGAGAAAGCAGAATGACTCTTCTTAAGCAATCCCATATAAGTTCCTTAAACTCCCCAAGGAGGGAGTCAAAGTGCTGGTCTCCTCTGGAGTTACAAGATGACAATGACCATGGGGGTAATTTTAAAGGGACATTCCATCAACTTTAAAAAAAATGGAGAAACACTGACTACCCTAGTGATACAAGTAGCACCTAAGAAAACGAGACTGGGGGGGGGGGGGGAAGGATCTCTTTGGAGATACAGTTTGTGCATTTAACAGCACTTTGCATCTAGTCACTCGCACGGTTTCCCTTATGTAGTCATTTTCCTGTTTGTGTGGGACTCAGACAACAAGAGGAGAGAGAAGCAGCAGTTAGGGAAATTTTTAGATATGAAAATATGATCGTAAAACCATAGAAATTGGCAGGAGGGGGGCCTAGAACTGCTTTCAACTAACTTTTTGAACTTGTTCCTTTAAAGAGTCAAAGCCCTGATCATTTCTGAGTGGGATTTTAAAAATTCCTGTCTCACCAAGGCTGCTCCGGATGTACAATGCAGCTTTCCAGAAGGGAAAGTCCCCAAAGCAAGCTGCATGATTCATTTTGAAACCAGAGAAGCCCCCTGAAAAAATGTGGTCAATCATACTGTCCCATCTCCTTATTGTGGACACTTCAGTAGCTACTGAATAATCTGGCCGCTTCAGCTAATTAGCGCAGATTAGACTGACTAGGTTAGGGGTATTAATGCTTAGTTAGTTACAGGATAACCCTGTAACAGGGATCAGCAACCTCTGGCACGCAGCCCACCAGGGTAAGTACCCTGGTGGGCCGGGCCAGTTTGTTTACCTGCCATGTCTGCAGGTTCGGCCGATCACAGCTCCCATGGTGGCAGTTGGCCGCTCCAAGCCAATGGGGATGCGGGAAGCGGCAGCCAGCACATCCCTCAGCCCACACCACTTCCTGCGGCCCCCATTGGCCTGAATCGGCAAACCGCAGCCAGTGGGAGCAGCAATCGGCCGAACCTGTGGACGCGGCAGGTAAACAAAACGGCCCAGCCCACCAGGGGCTTACCCTGGCAGGCTGCGTGCCAAAGGTTGCCGATCCCTGCCCTATAAGAATGTTGAGCAACTTCTGCATCTCTTGACCTTTTCACTTCTGGGAGACAGCCAGGATTGGTGCTCTCACTGAGCCCAGAGAAAGCACTGAGCAAACCAGGAATAAACTGTTCAAAGCATTGGGGTGGTTTCATCTAGGGGACATGGATCTATTCCTCACCAAAAGCAGTTCTTATAGTAAATGGATACAACTCCAGCCACTCTGAATTAGAAGTGGGTACCAATCGAGGCTGCCCTCATGACAACTCTTCACTGACTCAGCACACAGCTTTCCTGGCATGCAGGAGGGGACAACACCAGACAGGACATTAACAAGATATTTTTGAAAATTGTACCAGACTCTGCAAATCTGATTGGCTATTTTCCATTTAGGAATTCGTCAGGTTTTCACACCACGGCTAATAACCCTGAGAAGAGGCCCTGACAAGGCCAGACTGATAATTCTGCAGTGCTCTCATACTCCCCCTTTAAACCAGCCACAATACAAAAGTATCAGATACCTTGGAGTCAAAATCCCCTCACACGTAAAGGATTTGTGCCAGGTAACAATCCCTGTCTAATTACTAAAATAAAGAGACGTCTCTCCAGATTATACTATTTCTCCTCTGGCCCTTTGAGAGGATTAGCCTGATTAAAATGGTAATTTTGCCTCAGCTACATTGTTACATGCAAAGGTTGCCTGTAGTTCTAAACAATAGAAATAGCCTTGCAGAATTCATATGGAATGCCTGTGTAACAATTCCTAAGCGATGAACTGTCCCCATTGATAAAGAAGGCTCTACCTTCCCAGATCTCAAAAATATGTAACATGTCATGTCAACTGAGGTTCCCAGGAGACTGGATTAGGGAGATGTATCACTATACCCCACTGTAACAATACAGCATAGGACTGGTACATCAACCCAGCTCCCTGGTGCAGGCAGCATTCCTCCCAGTTTCACAGACTGCAAGAAGCATTGGGCCAGATCCTTTGTACAGATTAGTTATGTGGCCTGCAACAGTGACTGGGAGGTTTCAATGCTATCCTCACCCTAAACTGGCCAGGCTCACCTGAAGCCCACAATTGATGCATTTTCAGAAAGAGAAGGACAAATGTGGAGCAGATCTCTTTTGGAGCGAAGGCATTCACTCTTTCAAATGGCATATTACAAATTGATCATGACTTCTGTGTCTGTAAGGCGTCTGGCACAATGGGGGCCCGGGACACTATCACAACACTAAATAACAATACTCTGCCTTTCTGTAGCACCTTCCAGACAAATACGTCCAAGCACAATTCCTAGCCAATCAGTAGCAGTAAGATTTGCTACCCTTCAGGATCAATAACCCTTGACCCTGAATTTCCTTCACAGTGACCTTCAGTAGAAGGTGGTTTGCTGTTCTGGACCGACCCCAGTCCCAGAGGGGACTGTGTGACTGCAGCCTTCCAACTCTATCAAGGCATCAGCATGTGGCAGGCAAAAGGGAACCCCGTTCATAAACAGTGGTGTTACCAAGCAGCTCTGTGTTCTTAGGGAACCAGGGCGCAGTACCCAGCCTGTCTGACTCACCAAAGACCTTCCCTCCCCCTTCCTGCCCCCAGCCTCTGCTTGAACTAAATCTGCATCAGAAGAAAGACTTACAAAAAGCAATGAAAAGGAAGTGGGAGACACACCTAAACCACTGGGATAAGGAGGACAGGATTAAGGAAACTCCCCTAGCCTCATTTGCATCGAAGATGGGAGAAGGAGGCATCTCCATTAGCATACAGAATGGAGAACAGAGATTCCAAGACAAGAACCGCACAGAACTCTGGGACCAGAAAAGCAGGGAAGCACTGCATGATGGGGGATCTCTGCTCCAGATGTTAATGAACCCACGCCTGCACACACCCAGCTCAGTAGTTATCAGACCAATTCTAGTAATGAATCCTTTATTGGTATCCAAAATAGTGAAGCTCCCTAATTGAATTGTGAGCTCCCTCCAAGGAACACCGCCAAAAGCCAGGAATGATCAGCTCTCATGGTCTAGCCTGAACAAAACAATTTTGATATACTCCCTTGTTTACACATAAATCTAGTGGTAATCCCTTGAACCATTGTTGTTTCTCTACAAAATCCCCTACCCATGCTCAAGTAACTGTTCTGATGCCTGGATACAAAATCTGCATCAGTTCCATGCTGGGGGCGCTGCCTGTCTCCAGCACTCTAGACCCTCAGCTACCACCACCACCTGGGACCCCTGATTGATTCAAGCTTCACAGAGTGGTGAGAACCCAGCTCTCTCTCTCTCTAAGTCCTGTATAGCCTTCTGACTCGGACTTATGTGATCAGTTATAGTTTTCTAAACCTGACTTTTATAATCAATTTAAGTTAGATTTAATATTATAACTGTTTTGTTTGTTTGGCTCCCCTATGGTTATTACTTGGCAATAAATAGCTTTAATAATTAAGCTGGTTGCTTCTCTCTCTCTCCCCTCCACCCCTCCCCCACCCCCGGTGGGTGTTTTTTGGTTTTCTCATTCACTCTGCAGCAACACTCCTCATACCTAAACTAAAAGATCCCTGCAGCGCCCAAAAATCCTGTGGGATTTGCTCATCAAGTGGGTTACTACCAGAACAATTGTAATGTGAAAGTGGGGATAGAGACGTGCTGAACCTGGGACATATGAGGGTGGCAGCTTGCAAGTGCTGCTCGACCCAATCTGCTGAGTCCTGGGACATATGAGGGTTGCAGATTGAAACTGCTGCTCGACCCAGCCTGCTCAGGCGTGCTCTATTCCAGTGTGGTGCCCATGGCGTATGAGGGTGACAGGTTGGAGGTGCTGTTCGACCCAGCCTGCTGAGTCCAAGGGCCTATGAGGGTGACAGCTTGGAAGTGCTGCTCAACCCTAACTCCAGGGACATACAAGGGGTCAGCTTGGGAGTGCTGATTAACCTGGTCCTCTCAGATGCGCTTTCTTAATAGGTGTGTGTATGTGCGTCCGATTCTGGGGCTGGAAGAACCCAGCCCTGGGAAACCTAGGTCCTGCAGGATAGCTCCATTGGGAGGGAACTTGCAGCAGGGAGAAGTAGAGCTACATATGAGAACACAAGTGACACAAGCAGTACATTGATAGACATACAGACACCCCCCTTCCCCTCCCCCAAAGAGTAACCCCAAAGTAATGGGCAAAGCTGATAACAGTGGAACCAAGAACTACCCTAGAAGGCAACAAAGAGTCCTGTGGCACCTTACAGACTAACAGACATATTGGAGCATAAACTTTCGTGGGCGAATACCCACTTCATCAGATGCACGTGGTGGAAATTTCCAGAGGCAGATATAAATATACAGGCCAGAATCAGTCTGGAGATAACGAGGTCAGTTCAATCAGGGAGGATGAGGCCCTCTTCTAGCAGTTGAAGTGTGAAAACCAAGGGACTCCTCTGACGAAGTGAGTATTCACCCACGAAAGTTTGTGCTCCAATATATCTGTTAGTCTATAAGGTGCCAAAGGACTCTTTGTTGCTTTTTACAGATCCAGACTAACACAGCTACCCCTCTGATACCCTAGAAGGATTATTTGGAGGCCTGTGTTAAGTGCCTTGCATACACTTAGTGCTACACAGATAATGCACTACAGACAGCCACTCGGTGGAGTCTTACCGCCAGTGGCACAGTGTAGATGGCTGCTTCAGATGCTCTGCCAAGCAGATCACTCTTCATACCACGGTCATGAAGTTATTCCATCCAGTGAGTACTAGGTGCCTCCAGGTCACAGCCAGAGGTGTGCTGTAGATACGATGGAATAAAAACTGGGTTTGATATTACACTTTCCATGTACCCTAAAGCACTTTACAGACTACTGAGCTAGAAACTAAAAGTGCCACAACTACGCAGGCAAACGCAGCAGCTAGTTGGAGCTCAGCTAGACATCACAGAATGCTTTGGATATCAGAAGCTCTTATATCAGTTGCTAGAGCAGGGACCTGGGGTGTTGGGGAGGACAAATTGTATTGCATCCAGTTTTGCACCCCCCACTACAGAAAGGATGTGGACAAATTGGAGAGAGTCCAGCAGAGGGTAACGAGAATGATTAGGGGACTGGGGCACATGACTTATGAGGAGAGGCTGAGGGAACTGGGCTTATTTAGTCTTCAGAAGAGAAGAGCGAGGGGGGGGATTTGATAGCAGCCTTCAACTACCTGAAGGGGGGTTCCAAAGAGGATGGATCTAGGCTGCTCTCAGTGGTGACAGAAGACAGAACAAGAAGCAATGGTCTCAAGTTGCAGTCGGGGAGGTCTAGGTTGGATATTAGGAAAAACTATTTCACTAGGAGGGTGGTGAAGCACTGGAATGGGTTACCTAGAGAGGTGGTGGAGTCTCCATCCTTAGAGGTTTTTAAGGCCCAGCTTGACAAAGCCCTGGTTGGGATGATTTAGTTGGCGTTGGTCCTGCTTTGAGCAGGGGGTTGGACGAGATGACCTCCTGAGGTCTCTTCCAATACTGATCTTCTATTATTCTATTAAATGGAAGCTATATAATGCCATGGTACAGAGAACTAGGAATTGTATGGCAGGAGGGGGTAACCTTACCTCGTGACCACCAATAATGTCAATAGTTTTCCCATTCTCTTTTTCAGATACTTCACTGCAATGACCTTCGAGCACCCAGTAATGGAAGGACATTCATTCAACTACATTCTTTAAAGGTTAAAGTAGGCAGAGCAGAGCAGAGCAGGCATGAGGTGATTCAATAATAGGCTAAGTCAGATGAGTCGGCAGCAACCCTCATAAATGGGGAGAGGAGAAAAGGGACACTGGGAAATAATTTGCCAGCATCCTTTTAAGTTGCACACCAAGAGTCACTTACTTCCCTCAGTTCTCATGCTGAACACTTGCATCAATGGGAGTTGCACTTGTGGTCAGCTTTGGGAATGCTATAGGATTTTTTAAACCCATGCCTGAATTTTAGCAGAGTCTCATAACCAGCTGGCCTTCCTTTTGTTCTTAGTTTTAAGAATTTCATTTTTCATCAAGTTGCTTTTCAATTACCACTGTTAAGTCTTTCCACAAGGGCTCAGTAAGGACAGTGGCCCACTGCTACCTCTCTCTCAGGGCCTAAAATTATCACCTGAGCAAAAGCACTGTCCTTAAATACTATTAATTTCTCTCTCAAACTTGCCATCCAGATCCATCATATGTTCACTCTGAACCAAAGGTACTAAGACTGAGGAGCATAGAGTTTTGTTTCACATAAATAGGCTCCACCAGGACTATTTAGTGTAATTTAGTTTCAGGGCCTGAAAAATCCAATTCCCAAATAAGAAGCTTTTGCAGGTGAACAAAAGGAACTAAGCCATCAATTGTCACAAAATATAAGCTTTCATTTAAAAAAAAGTTTTTAGCCATTTTATTTGAGTGCAGAAAATTAGCAATATGAAGAGAATGGAAGCTGATGCAACTCAGTCTTCCCAAGTCTGCAACCGTCTTCCCAGCTTCACTGCCTCTGCTGCTGCTCCTAGCTTTGTCCAGCAGCAAAAATGAAACTGACCATGATAGCTATCAGTTTCATTGATATCACCGAGAACCCTAGAACAGCAGTGAAACTATCAAGAATCACACCTATTTCATGCTGCTACTGCTGTTCGGGAAAGCTCTCAGCAAAAAACATGGCACGAAACTGTGCCCTCGGATATGGCTGGGGACCCTCCCCCTCAACTAGAAGGCATCTGTTAATATTTTCAAGCCCTGCAGTATTATGGATACATCTGACTTGTGATTCCTTCTCTAAGAGCCAAGTGCTTTCATCTTCGCATGACAGTTAAATGGGGAAACTCACGCAGTTTCAAGATGATCTCAATGTCTCATAAAAAGTAGTATTAAGCCAGCTCTAAAAGGAACTTCCATTCAGCCCTGCTTGGATGACTGGAACATTCCTCGTGATCTGAGGCTTGTATACAAGAGGAGGTTTCTATGCATAAGGAGGATGAGGCACAGCTAAGTGCATCTCTGACCTTCTTCCCCCACCCCTCCTGCACTGCCTAGCCCCAAGAATTCATATTTCACACACACACAACCTCTAGGCCAAGGAAAAGATATACTACAAGATGTACAGCTAGAGAGCAGCTTGTGGGGCTGGGAAAACCCTATCACCTGAGGATGGGGAGGGACCAGAAAAAGTTAGAAGAAAGTATCAAAGACGAGAACAGATATGAAATGTGATGCAGCGGAAACAACATCCCTGAACACTGAATCCCACCTAGCTTCTACCCACCTTGGCAAATTAAACTCATTTTGATATCATTTAAATGCCCATGATACATGTGCTATTGTCTTTAAAAAGGGACAATGGGAAGGATAACAAACATGAAAGGGGATCCCACCCGTGAAAAATTAATGTTTAAACCATCTGCCAAATGAAAGCTAATAGAGGGCTGCCATAACACTTGAGATTCCAGGTCTTCAGCTGGGCAACCCACCAGAAACAATTCTAGATCTCATCGTGCCCTGGCTCTCTCAGCCAGCTCCATTAAAAGCCATTATCCATTTCATTTTTTTTATTAGTTTTCTATTAGAAGTGATGTGTCCCCATCCACCTGCCTCCCTAGCCACATTTATATTTATAAACCTGTTATGGATCCTCCTGATCTGTTACAGAACAGTGGATAAATATTCTCTTCTCCATGTAAAAAAAATACAGAGTATTACAGAGCTGGTGTCCATTCAATACCCTGCAGTATGCTACAGCAATCCATAACATGAATGATGTTGGAAGGCGGACACCTATAAAAAAAATTGCAGTGCTTCCACAATTGACAATAACTAGACTCTTTAAAATTAAATTGTTAACGCTAATAAGGTGAATTTATTCCTCAGATTATAAATCACTGGAAGGAAAGAGTTTCTAATTAAAAATACTGATTGCCTCAACAACTGTTATGCCAAGGTTATCTTCTAGCTATTGATTTAATCATCCCTGAGGGATGCACAAAACACTAACAGTCCCATGATTTTTCACATGACTGAATATTGAAAATACAGTTTGCTCCTCCCTACCAACATCAGCTGGCATTTTTCGTTTGAGGAAGCTATTATTATTTGCACAGCGCTGGGATGCTAGGTGCTTTATATGTGAGGAAACTCTTCTCTCTGAGAAAACACATTGGGAGGGGGGTCACATCACTTTTCCTACAGAAGCTCCTGTTTCTCCCCCAAGATTTGTTATCCTCAGCTAAACCATATGGCCCATTCCCTGAATGGTTTCATCCTAGTGGCTTTTACTGATGCGCAAGTGATATCTCCTCCGCCTCTGCAGACACTCTGCAGCACTATCTGTACATACCCAATGCTGCAAGTTTCGTACTTCTGGGGAATGTTTGGCTGCCTCTTGGTGGTTATAAGAAAAGAGACTGGAGGTGGGGGGAGGGGAGGGTCGCTCTCTATGGATGCAATGGAAAATGTCAAGTCCTTGGAACTCCAACTAGGCACAAACACATGCCCACAAACTTTTCAAATACATTACCCAAGAATGTTCTTGGCACAAGCTTCTTTGCAGTTACCCATGCTGGCTGGGCAAAAGTCATAGCTAGACCCATCTCTGGCTCTCTGGGGAGAAAGAGTTGACTTAATGACAGCTCCACCATTTGGGGCAGGTTGGGGACAGAGGGGAGGCTACCGAGCAAGTTCCAAGTTTCTTAAACATGGTAATAAAAACTTTATAGAAGTGCAGAGTACAGGATAAATATTCTCCGAGCAGAAAAAGTGGGTGTGATACAACTAGGGGAAACCCAGGATTAAACCATACAAGGCAATGTTCCTCAGTCGCGTTGATCATTTCTAGGGTTACGAGTTCGAAAGGAGTAAAAATATTTACAATACAGAGGGGGAGGAGAGAGAAAGAATTCCCTCCTTACCTAAATGCAGTAATTCTCACCCAGAGACGAAGATAGTTTGAAAAGGAGAGGGAAAAGGATGAGATAATCCCTTCCTGTCATGATAAAGGTTCTGTAGAACTTAGACAATGTTTCTTGTCCAAATGCTGCAGACAAGAGAATAGAAATCTTGAACTACGCAGTATACAGGACTGGCATGAATAGGAACAGAGGTTGCAAAATAACTGATTGTTCCTTTAGAGCCCCATTGTACTTAAGCACATGCCTAACTCCAAGCATTGATGCCAATGGGATTTCTCATGTGCTTGAAATTAAGCATGTGCTTAAATACCTTACTGAATCAGAGCCTAAAGGAACAAAGCTCTAAGACTTCTCTGCTCCCTCTTTTTGAAAGATGTATAAAGATCTTCTTGACTAAATCCAAGAATCAGCCTCTTTAAAAGAACGTCTAAACCAGGAGTCGGCAACCTTTCAGAAGTGGTGTGCCGAGTCTTCATTTATTCACTTTAATTTAAGGTTTTGCGTGCCAGTAATACATTTTAACATTTTTATAAGGTTTCTTTCTATAAGTCTATAATATATAACTAAACTATTGTTGTGTGTAAAGTAAATAAGGTTTTTAAAATGTTTAAGAAGCTTCATTTAAAATTAAATTAAAATGCAGAGCCCCCCAGACCGGTGGCCAGGACCCAGGCAGTATGAGTGCCATTGAAAATCAGCTCATGTGCCACCTTTGGCACGTGTGCCATAGGTTGCCTACCCCTAGTCTAAACACATTCTACTATTAGGAAAGCCACTCCTGTGGTTTTGACTGGCTAAGTTTCAATGCCACCTGTCTGAGAACTTCTACTGGCTGCCCCTCTCAGACAGGCCCTGAAAACAATCCAACCTCAAATTAAAAAGCAAAAGGCCAGCACAGGAACCAGACAGAACTAAACGCCTCATCACACTGGGATAGAGGGTAAACTTTTTATCACCCTGGGATCCACAATTCCCCTCCACACAAGACACACAGAAAAAAATATATCACACCCACTCACAAGAAACAGAAAGCAGCCTGCTGGAAGCAAACATTTACTGCACAGCTGTCTCCTCACCAGAACTTTCATTTTATAGGGAAATCCTTTTTAAAAAAAATTAAGCCCCAATGATGGAATTAACCTGTCAGATGAATAAAAAACTCCAGTTTGCTAAACAATGCATTGTAATTATCAAGGACCTCTTGAATAAGCCATTCAAATGAAATCTGCTGTGAAGCCAATTTAGTTACATTGACAATTAAACCTTTCTTAAAATGAAAGGCCTAGCAAGAATAAAGCTGTTCAAGGAATAAACTCACTGCACAGCCTGCACCATGACTTCTACACAGAGGGATCTGTGGGGCTTGCCTCCACGCCTACCCCGGAGGACGACGATGGGGTGAGAAGCTATTTCAAGGCAGATTCTTTTCATGCAAAAGGGCTGAAACTGAACAGCAAAACAGCATTACAAGAGCATTGAGTAATCCTATCCCTGCAGTTAGTGTTTTGCTATCCAATTAGCTAGTCCAAGTGTAAGAGGAAAAGTCTATTCCAAAAACAGAAGATATTTTGCAAGGCATGGCCTATTGAAATAGGTGTACAATAGTTTGAAAAAAAAATCAAAATAAAAAAATGGATACCAGAGCAATGAAACAGTAAATTACTGTACCACGACCAGAGGAATCTGTTTTTGGATTGAGAATCAGGGAATCCACATTAGCACTTCAGGTGCAGAAGAGTTTGGAAATTCCTTCTGCTGCTCTCCCTTTCCAACTCTTCCTGTTGCTGTTGGAGGCATGTGCCCCTCTTCGCTTCCCCGCCCCCCACACTTCGAAAAAGAGTCAGAAATGGTTTTAAAAAAACATGCTGTAAAATTCTGCCAACGTCTCCCTCCCTGTTCCTCATTAAAGCAGACAGCCTTGCTCACTTGTTCCGCTGCCTAGCGAACGGGATGTTCCCCCACCGCATAGTCTGGGCTGGGAAGCAGGAAACCTGTCCTTCCACAGGAACCCTTGCAAATCACAGACCTGATGCAAAACCAAGTGCATGTAAGCTTGGTTCCCCTATCTGCACTCGGTCTCCAGAGCCAGTGGTCACACTTGTCCATGGGGTAACTGCCTTGGAAGCAACGGGACTAGGGCGAATCCGTCCCCCTTGTTTCCGAGGGATCAAGCAGCAATTCCCCTGCCTAGGTCTGTGTCTCTGCAACACAACCCGGCACACTCACAGCACGGAGAGCACTATGGGATTTCCAAGGAGCAAACACGCCCGTGGAGACAAGCAGGGCTTAGCCCGACGGAGTAACGCCCTAACCCGGGCGACTCGGGGCTGCGGCCGCCACTCCGGTGAGGATGCATTAGCGGCAGCAGGAGGAGGAAGCAGAGGCTGGCTCTGCAGAAGCTGCCTCAGCCGGGCCAGACACAGACCCGGCAAGGATCGGAAACGCTGCCCCAGCCTCTCCCTTCTCCTCCCCGCGCCAGTCTGGAGGGGTAGGGGGTCCCAGAGCTAACCCCTCCGCCCCCCAAAGACATGTCCTGGCAGTGCTTACCCAGCCACTCACGCACGCACCTGCGGGGCTCCCTCGCTGCCCGCCCCCGGGAGGTGTCCGGGCTACCCACGCCACCCCCAATGTCCCAGTCCCATGCAACGCCCTCCCCCTTTCACCCAGCACCCTGCCCCTCACTGTGTTCATGATGACCCCTGCCCAGCGCCCCCTGCACCCACCTCTGTATGCCTCCTCTGCCCCCCACACAGTCGCTCCCTGCCTGCGTACCCCGCGGGGAGGAACTCACTGCCCTCGGGGAAACAGCAGCCCCTTACCCGGAGCACGGAGAAAAGTCGGGGGCAGGCACAGCCCGGGACAGGAGGCGGGGACGCTGCAGGCTCCCGCCGCCCACAGGACACACGGCCGCTGTCGCCATGGCCCGGCCTCTCTCCGGCAGCTCGGGGAGAGAGAGCTGGGCGGCCCCGCCCACTCCCGCCCCTGCGAGCGGCGAGGCAGAGGGGTGCCGCTGGGGACAAGGGCAGGAGAGCCTGAGACGGGCCTGGGGGGGCAGGTCACTGGAGAGCCAAGAGCCAGTGAGGGGAGCCGGTTACGGGGAGGTGGGGCCAGGAGGCGCTGAGGGGGACGGTCACTGACACTGAGGGAGGTGGGGCCAAGAGCGCTGGGGAGGCCGGTCACTGGGGAAGTGAAGCCAACAGCCGCTGAATGGGACTGGTCACGGAAGAAAGAGCCACTGAGTGGGGCAGGTCACGGGGTGGGGGCAAGAGCCGCTGGGGGGGCGGGCACTGGGGATGAGGGGGTGGAGCTAACAGCCGCTGAGGGGGACTGGTCACGGAGGGTGGGGAAGCTACTCAGGGGGGCTGGTCATTGGGAGATGGGGCTAAGAGCCACTGAGTGGGGCAGGTCATTGGAGGGAGGCAAGAGCCAGTAGGGGGGGCAGATCATGGGGTGGGTGAGGCCAAGAACCACTGAGGTGTCATGTGGGGACCAAGAGCCACTGAGTGGGGCAGGTCACGGAGTGGGTGGGGCCAAGAGTCACTGAGGGGGGCAGGTCATGGGGAGGCCAAGAGCTACTGAGGGGGGCCAGTCACTGGGGGGTTGGGGCCAACATCCACTGAGGGAGTGAAGTCAGGGAGGGGGCCAAGAGCTGCAGAGAAGGGCAGGTCATGGGGGGGTTGGAGCCAACAGCTGCTGAGGGAGTCAGGCCACTGGGGCGTGGGGCCAAGAGCCACTGAGGAGGGTTGGTCACAGGGTCCAAAAGCCACTGTGTGGGCCAGGTCACTGGGGGGCCAAGAGCCACTGAGAGGGGCAAGTCACTGCGGGGGTTGGGGCCAACTGAGACGGGCCTGTCACTATGGGGGGGCCAAGAGCCGCTGAGTGGGGCAGGTCATGGGATGGTGGGGTCAAGAGCTGCTGAAGAGGGCAGGCCACTGGGGGGGCGGGGCCAAGAACCACTGGGGGGTTGGGCAACAGCCACCGAGGGGGGCCGGTCACTTGGTGGTTGGGATTGGTCATTGCTGGGGGACCAAGAGCCACTGAGAGGGGTAGGTCACTGGGGGGTGGGGCCAAGAGCCACTGAGGAGGGAAAGGGTCACTTAATGTTGTTAGGGGAATACTCACTGCGGGTAAGGGTCACTGAAGGGGCTTTAGAGAGTCAGTATGGAGTTAAGGAAACTGCGGGATCAAGAGCCATTGCTGGGGAAACGGTGCCGAGTGAGGATTTGCTGCCTCGCACCACAGGCCCACCCATCTCCTTGCCTCTTGACCACGGCGCCCTGGGTGGTCGCCAATGTTGCCTGCCCCTAAGGCCGGCCCTGTGTGTGAGAACCTTTGTTTTTGCATTTCCCAGCTTTTGAGTGTTTACAGTTGTAACCTCAATGTCAGCTTTTGTATTTAATAGAGCAGGAGGGAAAGAAAGAAAACAAGAGATGTACTAAGTTAAATGTTACTTTTAAATCATGTAAATATATTATGCTAAGACATATACAAGTGGATGATTTTATGTACTGTATGTTTATAGACACAAAATAGACACACCCACATGCACAGTATTGTACATTTGCAGTCACACATGCATCTAATACGAAGTACGTCAGGGCACAGCACTGCGGTTTTCAAAGGTCTGGGGATCCTGACACCCCACTGAACACCTGCAGGATCAAAGGACTGCAGTGCTTCCACTCTCTTGCTTTTCAACCTTTTCTTTAGCCATAGCTGGCCCTCCACTCTTCCCTCACTCCCAGTCCCTACTGGCCAGCACTCAATTACTTGGACTTGCTGGCTGGAATGCAGCTGCAGTTCTTGGCTAGCCAGCTGTAGCCGCTAACCACATGCCATGCAGCTGCAGCTCACAGTATCCCAGTTTCTCCAGCACCTGCTATACCCCATGGCAGTCCCATTCCACTCCTACCCCACAGCTATCTGGGAATTCACACACATACACAAGTTTCAGTCACTTATGACCCTGAACCACCCATCCCCAAGTATTCCCACTGAACTGCTGCTGATTCTCCCCAACACAAGCGTACCTATACAAAATGTTCTGAAAAACAAAGGAATAAGGACAAAGAGACTAAACTGTTTGTGTCTGATTTGTTTCAGGGGTGCTGCTCTACATATCTTTGGGCTTTGAGAGCTAGTGATTAAAAGTATTTTAGAACAGATAGGTATTATTATTGAGATGCTGCTGTGTCCCTCCTCCTAAGTGTCAGTGCAATGGGGTGTTGTGCCTGTCCCTTCTATCTCAACCGAAAGGTGCTCTAGCTATTCCTTCTCACCAATGCAATGGTGGTGTGCAAATGTGTTCTGCCCCAAGATAAGGTGTGCTCTTGGTTCTGCCAGTGTAAATCCAGTTTGCGGAGTTACTTCATCCTTACACTGGCATAAATTAAAGCAGAATCAGGCCCTTTGTATCTAGCCTCTTCATCCCAGTCCAGAGGGCTGCTCACTCAGCTTTTCTGTTTCAGCCCCATTCAGGGGTTCACCTGCTCCAGCTGCAACACTGATGGGGTTTATCAGGCCAAAGCAGGCTACCTCAAAGCGATTCCCACCTTAGCCAGCCATGCTCCCCCTGTCTGCTTGGGACTATCTGAGGAGAAATCACGGGATGTGATTTTGGGATGGGAATTGATGAAGGGTATAATTCCAGAAGCTACTTTAAGAAAAAGATTATTCTATGAGGAATCCAAAGGGTATAAGACTCTTAGTACTCTGCAGGGTATTTACATCAGGGAAGTAAGAGAACTGGGAATCCTGTTTTTTTGCAGTTCCTTTCACACACACCCCTTCATGCTTGACTCCAAGAATTGTACTACAGCTCAAACAATGACAAGCTGTGTGGGAAAATGGGTTTTACTATCTATCTGAGGGTTTTATACCCCTGCCAATCACTAGTAATGTAACTAAGTAATGAGCCTAACATCAGATTTAAACCAGTGACTGAGATTAAGAGTCTCATGGTGTACCAACAGAGCTACCCAGAATCACTTGGTGATATAAATGTATATAGTATGAGGGGGTAGCCGTGTTAGTTACACAATCAGGAGCTCATTCACCTGCACATCTACTAATGTGATATATGCCGTCATGTGCCAGCACTGCCCCTCTGCCATGTACATTGGCCAAACCGGACAGTCTCTATGTAAAAGAATAAATGGACACAAATCAGACATCAGGAATGGTAACATACAAAAGCCAGTAGGAGAACACTTCAATCTCCCTGGACATTCAATAACAGATTTAAAAGTAGCCATCCTTCAACAACAAAAAACTTCAAAAACAGATTTCAAAGAGAAACTGCAGCGCTACAATTCATTTGCAAACTTAATACCATTAATTTGGGCTTGAGTAGGAACTAGGAGTGGCTGGCTCACTACAAAAGCAATTTTCCCTCTCTTGGAATTGACACTTCCTCATCAGTTATTGGGAGTGGACCACATCCACCCTGACTGAATTGGCCTTGTCAACATTGGTTCTCCACTTGTAAGGTAACTCTCTTCTCTTCATGGGCCAGTATAATTATGCCTGTATCTGTAATTTTCACTCCATGCATCTGAAGTAGTGGGGTTTTTTACTCACGAAAGCTTATGCCCAAATAAATCTGTTAATCTTTAAGGTGCCACCGGACTCCCCATTATAAATATATATGCATATATATAGCCTCAGGGATGTCCTGCTAAATCTTGCCATAGCCTCCAGTAGGCTGGGACCCTACAGGACTAAGAGGGTATTCTTGGGACTTGGTAGGAGTGGCATGGAGTTCCCACTTCCACCTCTCTCCAAGCCATTGTCATCTTCACATTTCATGTTTGACACAATGCACATACAGAAACAACACACAAAGAAAAGAGCATAATTCACCAGAAGAAAATATTATCCCAGAATTCTGAAAGAGATTTCTCTGTAATGATACTGCAGAGAGAACTGCAGAACTGGAATTAATTTGCAAACTGGACACCATCAAATTAGGCCTGAATAAAGACTGGGAGTGGATGGGTCACTACAAAAACTAATTTCCCCATACTAATTTCTCCCTACTGTTACTCACACCTTCTTGTCAACTGTTTGAAATGGGCCAGCCTGATTACATTGGCCTCATTACCACTACAAAAGTGATTTTTCCTCCCTTGGTATTCTACTGTTGAGAATAGCCCTCTTCCACTTTAATTGAATTGTCTCGTTAGCACTGACCCCCCCCCCACTTGGTAAGGCAACTCCCATCTTTTCATGTACTGTGTATATATACTTGCCTACTGTATTTTCCACTCCATGCATCTGATGAAGTGGGTTTTAGCCCACAAAAGCTTATGCCCAAATACATTTTTTAGTCTCTAAGGTGCCACAAGTACTCCTCCTTATTGTTACTGCAGATAAAGTGGCTGCTGTGCATGAAAAAGAAAATAGAAAAAATCATGGACAGGCCTATATCTGGCAGGGGTGCAGTGGCACGTGCTGAGCTCCATAGCCATAATGCTCTAGACCAGTGGTTTTCAAACTTTTTTTCTGGCGACCCAGTTGAAGAAAATTGTTGATGCCCACGACCCAGTAGAGCTGGGGATGAGGGGTTTGGGGTGTGGGAAGGGCTCAAGGCTGGGGAAGAGGGTTGGAGTATGGGGTGAGCTGGTTGGGGTGCAGGAAGGGGCTCCAGGTTTGGGGAGGCTCAGGGCTGCGGCAGGGGATTGGGGCGAAGGGTTGGGGCGCGGGCTTACCTCAGGCGGCTCCCAGGCAGCAGGGCAGCAGGGATGCTAAGGCAGGCTTCCTGCCTGTCCTGGCACTGCAGACCACGCTGCGCCCTGGAAATGCCCAGCAGCAGGGCCAGCTCCTAAGCGGAAGCGCACAAGCGGTTCCACGCAGCTCTCGCCCGCAGGCACTGCCTGCCCAGCTCCCATTGGCCAGTTCCCAGCCAAAGAGAGTGCAGAGCCAGTGCTCGGGGCGGTGGCAGTGTGCAAAGCCCTGTGACCACCCCACCTAGGAGTCGGACCTACTGCTGGCCGCTTCTGGGGCGCAGTACGGTGTCAGAACAGGTAGGGACTAGCCTGCCTTAGCCAGGCAGCACCG